AATCACCGCCGCCCCTTGCCTTTTTGGAAGCGCCTATGTGGCCGAACGTTGCGGCCAGACCTGCCAAGCTATCGGACCATGTGTTCCCCGAATCGATTTGGAAAGCCTGCGGGGAACACGTGGGCATCTTGAAGGTCATCTTGGCCGTCTGGAGGCCATTTTGACCCGTTCGGGCCTTCTTGGAGGACGTCTTGGAGGGCTCTTGGGCCGTCTTGGAGGCCATCTTGGGCGTCTTGGAGACCTCTTGGGCCGTCTTGGGGGCCTCTTGGGGCCGTGTCTTGGGCCTCTTGGGCGATCTTTGGGGGCACTTGGGCCGTCTCGGGCCGTCGGAAGGCAGAACAACAAGCAAATGCCACAATCCTTCAAACACCCATCGGGAAATCAATGATTTTGCCTTTTCGGGCATTCCTGGAGGCCCTCTTGGAGGCCCCTTGGGCCGTCTTGGGCTATCTTAGGGCCATGTTCGGCCGTCTTGGTGGGCTCCTGGTCCGTCTGACGCCGTCGGGAGCCGTTTAGGGGGCCTCTCTGGGCCGACTTGGGGCCCTCTTGGAATGCTTCAGGGCCGTCTTGGAGGCCCACCTGTGCCGTCTTGGGGGCCTCTTGGGGCCTTCTTGGGACCCTCTTGGGCCGTTCTGGGGCCACCTTGGAGGCCTCTTGGGCGATCTTTCGGCGATCTTCGGGGGCTCTTGGGCCGTCTCGGGCAGTCGGAAGGTCGAAATCTGTCAAAAACTTACGGAACATGTATTTGTTAGGCCTCTTCTGGCTTTCTTGGAGGCACTCTTGGGGGCCTCTTGGGCCGTCTTGGGCCAGCTTCGAGCCAACTTCGGCCATCGTGGTGGGTTCCTGGCACGTCTGACGCCGCCGGGAGCTGTCTTGGGGGCCTTTCTGGGCCGACTTTTTGGGGCCCTCTTGGGGCGCTTCGGGGCCGTCTTGGAGGCCATCTTGGGCGTCTTGGAGGCCATCTTGGGTGTGTTGGAGGCCTCTTGGGGCCGTCTTGGGGCCCTCTTGGGGCCGTCTTGACGGCCTCTTGGGCCGTCATGGGGCCCTCCTGGGGGCCTCTTGGGCGATCTTGGGGGCCTCTTGGGCCGTCTTGGGCCGTCGGAAAGCCGAAAAGGCGCAAATGCCAAAACCTTCAACAACCCAAGGAACATCAACGATTTTGGCCCTGTCGGGCCTTCTTGGAGGACGTCTTGGAGGGCTCTTGGGCCGTCTTGGAGGCCTCTTGCGGGCCTGTTAGGCCGTCGTAGACCGTCTTGGGCCGTCTTGGAGGCATCTTGGGGCCATCTTAGCCATCTTGGAGGCCATCTTGGGCCGTCTTTGAGACGTCTTGGAGACCATCCTGGGCCATCTTGGCCGTCTTGGACGCCATCTTGGGCCAACTGGAGGACACAGAAGCACGACGGATGTGTTTTGAGATCCTTTCCGGGTGGCCGGCGGGATGGGCCGAAGCCCCAGGGGGAGTTCTTTTGGAAAAAGGATCAAAACCAAAACCGATAGGGTTCAGCACGCCAGGCACCCCTGCGATGAATCGACAGGGGGCGGCGGATCGAAGCTGCCTACGGCGAGTCACCGCCGCCCCCTGCCTTGTTTGGAAGCGCTTATGTGGCCGAAGGTTGTGGCCAGACCTGCCAAGCTATCAGACCATGTGTTCCCCGAATCGGTTTGGAAAGCCTTCGGGGAACACGTGAGCATCTTGAAGGTCATGCAGCAGCCGGCGGGACGCGCCGAAGCCCCGGGGGGATCTTTTGGAAAAAGATCCAAACCAAAACCGCAATAATCTAGCACGCCAGGCACCCCTGCGATGAATCGACAGGGGGCGGCGGATCGAGGACGCCTACGGCGAATCACCGCCGCCCCTTGCCTTTTTGGAAGCGCCTATGTGGCCGAACGTTGCGGCCAGACCTGCCAAGCTATCGGACCATGTGCTCCCCGAATCGGTTTGGAAAGCCTGCGGGGAACACGTGGGCATCTTGAAGGTCATCTTGGCCGCCTGGAGGCCATTCTGACCCTTTTCGGGCCTTCTTGGATGACGTCTTGGAGGGCTCTTGAGCCGTCTTGGAGGCCATCTTGGGCGTCTTGGAGACCTCTTGGGCCGTCTTGGGGGCCTCTTGGGGCCGTGTCTTGGGCCTCTTGGGCGAACTCTGGGGGCACTTGGGCCGTTTCGGGCCGTCGGAAGGCAGAACAACAATCAAATGCCACAATACTCAACAAAAACCAATGGGAAATCAATGATTGTTGCCTTTTCGGGCCTTCCTGGGGACCCTCTTGGAGGCCTCTTGGGCCGTCTAGGGGCCATCTTAGGGCCATGTTCGGCCGTCTTAGTGGGCTCCTGGTCCGTCTGACGCCGTCGGGAGCCGTTTAGGGGGCCTCTCTGGGCCGACTTGGGGCCCTCTTGGACTGCTCCAGAGCCGTCTTGGAGACCATCTTAGGCGTCTTAAAGGCCTCCTGTGCCGTCTTGGGGGCCTCTTGGGGCCGTCTTGAGGCCCTCTTTCTGATTTCGAGGATGTTCATGTCGTACATATCGTGAGGGGTCTGCTCGAGTCTCCCGTCCCTGCAGCCTATTTGGCTCGGCAGTGGGCGGGTGGGTTTCATATTGCGGGCGGAGTGCCGCTCCAGGACGGCGCGGGTTGGCGCGCCGCCGTGATTGATTGCGAAAAGGGTTCGCTTCGTGTTGCTGTATTTTACTCCGTGACTTACGTCACCTCCGACGGCGACGTGAAGGGCTCCAGGGTGCCCTTGAATTCAGTTTGGTAGCGAGAGCATAGTTTCGACCACGGTCTACATTGTGGCGATCACGGTCGACGACCACAATGTCAAGTGGTGCGACTACGACCGGAGGAGCTGCTGGCGGCTCAGCAGCACTCCGATTGGACGTCCCATCATGGGACGGAGAGCCCGACAAGCTGCTGGCGTACAAGTTCGACGTCGGGCTCTTCAGCAAGAGCTATAAGATGCAGGACAGGTACGTGGTGGGACCCCAGGTGATGAGAGCGCTGGGGGCAAGGACGCGCAGACTGGCACAGGCGTGCCCCGACATCGACAAGATCGACGAGGTCACCGACGAGGGCAAGCTGACAGGATGGCAACGCGTCTTCGACTTCCTCTTGTCGAAGCTCGACCTGTCCAACGTGAGCGAGATGGGGAACTCAGCGGAGAAGTTCTTCAACAAGCTCCAGCGGGAGCCTGGTGAGGGCTTCCCCGACTGGACGGCGCGCTGGGAGGCGCACGAGCGCGACCTTTTGTCGCAGCTGAAGGCGGTGGACAGCTCGGTCGAGGAGGTCATCGCAGCGCCTCTGAGGACGCGGTGGTACCTCCGCCGCTCGCGCCTGAGCCCTGTGGCAAGGGGCGAGATCACCGCTACGGCGGGCGGCGACTACGACTTCGGCAGGACGTACAAGGCGCTGTGCACGAGGTACCCGCTGGAAGCGCTGAAGGAGATCGACGGGGTCCGCGAGAAGAAGGACAGGCGCGCGGGGTTCTTCGGCGAGGCCGAGGAGGCCGAGCAGGAGGACCACGACTTCGAGGACAGGTCCGAGATCGCGGACATCGTGGACCAGCTGGTGAACTTAGCGGACGAGGAGGACTCGACCCTCTTCGAAGACTCCGAGCTTGTCGACGACTACGAGGGCGGCATCTACGCGGAGTTCAGGCAGCTGGGCAGGAATTTCAAGGGCGCGAGGGACCTCATCAGGAAGCTCAAGGTGGCGAGGGAATACTACCCTGTGCTCGCTCCTCGACCTGCGGAGGGACCCCCTCGTCCTCGACAACTACGTGATGGCCAACGCCCTTCTCGCCAAGATGGTCAACGATCTTCTCGTCAGGACGGTGGTCAAGAACCTGCGCGTGACAGGCGTAGGATCAGATGTCTAGCTTGCGGCAAGTTCGGACACCAGGCGAAGGACTGCCCCGAGAGGACGAGGGGCCGCGGCAAGCCACAGCCCAACGAGATGACCTCGTTTGCGCTTCTCGAGCTCGGCGACCTGGTGCTCCTCTTGGACGACGTGGGCGGCATCTGGGCTATCCTCGACTGCGGCGCCACGAGGGGCCTCATCGGTGTGACGATGGCCGAGCACCTCATCTACGACATGGAGGAAAAGTGCAACATGCTGTTCGACGTGGTGAAGCGGACGCGGCACTTCACTTTCGGCGACGGCAGGCGCAAGAGCTCGATGGGCACCATGACGGGTGCCATCTTTCTCGGCGACGGCCAGGAGAAGATCGGGATCCCGATCATGGACAACGTTGTGCCACTGCTGATCGGCATGGACGTGCCGGGACCTGATCATGCCAACGCCCTCATCGACTGCGGTAACGGCTACCTGATGCTGCCGAAGATCTCACATCACGTCTTCCAGTGCCAGAAGATGCCCAGTGGTCACCTCGCCATCAACGTGACGACTCCGACGCGGTGGCAGAACATCCCCCAGAGCCTCTCGAACATCGTCGGGATCACACAGCGCAACGCCCTGGAGGACGAGGCTAAGACGTCCGCGGTCGCGGACGAGGCGGTGCTGGCGCTGGCGCCCGCGGCTGGCGCGGGGGCCTCGAGCTAGGGACAGCGCCCCCTGGTGGATCCGAGAAAAGTTCTGTCCTCTAGTCCATCGGGGGGGCCCAAGAAGACTCCAGCAAAGCCTCACGCCCTCGAGAGATCCTCAGACTTCCCGAAGTTCGAAGACGCTGACAGGGGTCAGGATGTCCTAGCTGCACCCCCTGGGCCTGCTGATGCACCCCCAAGCCTCTCGAGATCTCCTACAGCATCTCCTACGAGGGCATCTTGGGGACCATCTTCGGGGACCAAGAGTTCGAGAGCAACGATCAGAGAAACCGAGACATCTCCAAGGGCGCAGACTAGTACGAGTACGAAACTCCCGACACGACAATCTGAGCTTCTTCCCAATCCTGATGATTTTGATGCACACCGAGCTCTTTCGGCTCGAAAGGGTGTTCAATCAGGATGAGATCCTCACTATTCATCTACGCTTACATATCCAGAAGATGTCATGCCACCGTGGCACCATCTCGTCGCCTTCAGGTGCGCCACCGCCGCCATCCCCTACTGCGGAGCGTCCGCGAGATCGCAGAACGATTCCTTTCGCGCCAAAGCTGCCGACAACAACCGAGGCGAGCGCGTCGACGTCAGCTCAGATCCAGTCCGAGGCCAGGGTCATCCAAGGCGAGTTCGCTTCTGTACCCCCAAAGGATGTGACCACGAATGCTGCTGGATCGAATCCGACCGCCACCCTCGTCCAGGCGGCCAAGTCCAAGGCGCCGGGATTCCAGAGGCGCGGCTGCTGCGGCCAACCAGGTCGCAAGCGGAACGGGCGTTCGTGCACGGGGGGCCAGACCCACAAGTGTCGGCTGGAGGAGGCCGGGTACCCATCGCTGAACTTCGCGCAGAACTACCGTCCACCTCGTCGGAAGAAAGACCAGCCACAAGCAGGCCTCCCCGAGTGCATGATTCCCAGGTCGGCGAGCCCAGAGGTCAGTTGGCTGTGCAGGTCCGAGGTGATCTACATGAGGTGGAGGCGGATGCTGTCCAAGGTCCTGAAGAGACTGGCGAACGACCCGTCCTCGGAATCCTTCGAGATGCTGGACGACTCACCCGAGAAGGAGATGGCCAGCAAGAGAGGGCGCGAGCGTCCCTGACCAGCGAGGACCTGGGCATCATGCAGAAGGCTATCGACCAGTACGATCTGGACTACACGAAGGAGATCGGCGACGACGTCAACTTCCTGTCCCGCAACGGCCGCTACGACTTGCTCGAGGTCTGCACGCCTCCGAAGTCTCGTCTCTCCCAGGCGGTGATCGACCTAGGTGGAGCCGCCTTCCGAGCTGGGGTACACAACGGGTTCGACATGGCGACGAAGATTGGAGTACGACGGTTTGCTCTGTGGATTCGTCAACATCGGCCTCGACGCATCGTCATGAGTCCTCCGTGTACCGCGGACTGCCAGCTCCAGAACTGGAACCAGAAGACCCCAGAGGACCGCGAACGTCTACGTAAAAAGGTGCAACAGGCTCGTCGGATACAAGCTGGGTGCGAGACCATCATGTCGGTCGGGCTCCAATTCCGTCGGACCGAGATCGACTTGGAGCAGCCGCATGATCTCATAGCTGGGGACGTTCGGAGGCACTGAAGCGCACCAGGGAGCAGACCTACGAGACGCTGGTGGTTGGCTGTGCTTACGGCCTCCGCTGCCCCCGCAGCGGCCTCTTCTTGCCCGAGGTCTGGGGGATCTGCTCTACCGACCCCGAGCTGCAGGAGGCCATCGGCAAGCGCTGCAGTAATCGCCCTGGTCGGCATGACAACCACGAGCACGGTGAGATCATCGGGGGGAAGGTGGTAGCGGCCACAGCGTTCTACCCCGAGGCGTTGTGCAAGGCCTGGGCGAAGCACAGTCTGCGTGCTGGAGGTGGTACTACAGCTGGAACCTCAGCCCTCTTGGCGACGGACCAGGACACTGACGACGGCATCTTCGAGGGCATCGACGAAGACGGCGACCAGGAGATGGAGAACCAGCAGGCGTCAGACGAGGAGCTCGACGAGGAGGACCTCAGGGAGCTCTCCAAGGACGGCGGCACGCTGAGCGCCAAGGAGGCCCAGGAGATAGAGCACCGCCTCAGCCGACTTCATCGTAATCTGGGTCACCCCAGCGCCCGCACCATGTTCAAGATTCGCAAGAACCCGGGCGGGTTCATCCAGGTTCTGAAGATGGTCAAGAAGTTTAAGTGCCATGCCTGCGACTCCTCGGTGCTGCCGAGGGCCGTCAGAACAGCTGCTGGCATCGACATTCCCGAGGTCTTCGAGGTGATGGGGAGTGACGGCCTCGAGTGGACCGACCCTGTTGACGACGCGACCTACCTGTTCACGCTGAACCTTGACGAGGGGTCTGGACTGACGCAGATCTTCAACCACGGCGACAAGTCCCAGAGGTCCGGCAGACGATCAGCAGCGGACCTCCTCGAGACTTGGAGATCCTGGACGAATCACTACCGCGCTCCTCGCCTCATTCGCTGCGACGCTGAGGGCTGTCATCGAGCGGAACTTACCAAAAGCTGGTGCAGTGCGCGCGGGATCGAGATGTTCATCGCTCCTGGCGAGGCGCACTGGCTAATGGGCAAGGTTGAGCGCAGGATCCAGCTGTTCAAGCGGACTCTCACTAAGTTCAGGAAACAGAATCACGATTGCGACATCGACGAGGCCATCAGCCAGGTCACGCATGCGATCAACGAACTTGACAAGGTCGGGAACCATTCGCCCTTCGTACATGCCTTTGGAACTGGAGGCCATCGGGGCTCGGGCAACCCCTTTGCCATCGTGGACGACAGCAACGGAGAGCCCCGGGAGCAGAGGCGACTTCTGGCACGTCAGAGCTTCATCGAGGTGGAGTACTCAGAGCGACGCCGACATGCAGAACATGCCCTCAGCCGCGCGACGACTCGCTGGAACACCGGCGAGCACTGCTACTACTGGCGGAAGGGCCGTGGTCCTGTCAAGGCAACATGGTATGGTCCAGCGCGCGTCTTAGTTCAAGAACAACGGGTACTTGCAGGCTCTGCACTCCCAACTTCAGTCGTGTGGATCTCGCACGGCGATGTTCTACTTCGGCGTGCTCCTGAGCAACTGCGTCCAGCTACGGAGGCCGAGCGAATGGTCGTGGAGCTCAACAACATGGAGGGGCGCGGGGCTACCATGTCCGACTTGATGGAGGTCGCCCGCCGCGGAACGTTCGAGGACCTCACCAACGAGAGCCGACCACGCATCCAGAACTTCGAACCGCAGGCGATCCAGCCGTCCGAGTCACCCGAGGACCATGACGATCAGATGGACGAAGAAGCTGCTGAACCCGATCCCTCGGACGGACGTTCTGAACCAGCAGGCGAGCCGACGCCGCCTGAATCGTCTCCGCCTTCCCTTTCAAGTATCTCTTCCATCGAGCAGCCTGTCTCGAAGCAGTCTCGGTTAAGTCCACCCTCCAGAGCGAGCTCGGCCCCACGTGCTGAACTACCTCATCGGCGCTGGCGCATGTCCTCCAAGGGCGACGAGACCACCTACCGACAGTCCCCTGCTGAACGACGACAGGACCGACCTGGGCCCTACTCTGAGGGCAAGCCAACAGTCGAGGACAACGATGAGGAGCTCTTCTCTCGGATCACCTTCGACGGGAACCGGGGCGGCACCGACTTCGAGCTTATCGACGAGAACATGACGGTCTACTTCGAGATGGTCAAGTCCGAACTTGCGGGCAGCCAGGGCGGACGTCGTCTCACTTGTCAGATGCTGGACTGCTTCGTTGCCAACCAGAAGCGGAAGGATCAGATCGAGTTTCACTGGGGAAAGCTTTCCCCCTTCCGAGAAGGCTGAGTTCCGCAAGGCCATGACGAAGGAGGTCCCCAACTGGAAGCAGTACAAAGGTCTCCGTCGTGTACCCGCTTCTGAGATAAAGGACCCTGCGGACGTGATCAGGTGCCGTTGGGTGCTGACGCGCAAGAGCGATGGGGCCGCGAAGGCGCGCCTCGTCCTCCTCGGCTACCAGACCAAGGACATCGGACAGGAGCCGACAGCTTCACCAGCGGCCTCGCGCCGCGCTCGGAATCTACTCCTCACGGTCGCGGCCGCCATCTCCTGGACCATCGTCAAGGGCGACGTGACCAGCGCGTTCCTGCAGGCGAACGACCTGAAGAAGGACCTCTTCGTGGAAGCCGACGAGGCGCTATCTGCTGAGTTTGGCGTTCAACCTGGTCAAGTGCTACGCGTGGTGAAGCCGGGCTACGGCATCGGCGAGGCTCCTCGCAAATGTTGGCAGACGGTGAAGTAGGACTTCGCCAAGCTGGGATTGCAGGCGTGCGATCTCGAACCATGCCTGTGGAGTCTACGCTGTCCTGAGACCAAGGCGCTGCTGTGGCTTATCATGTGCCACGTTGATGACTTCATCCTCTGCGGTGACCGAGAACATCCTGCATGGCGGAAGGCGCTGAAGAGCATCGAGGACCTCTACACGTGGGGCACCTGGGAGGACATGGACGACGGGATCGACTCCATCGGGCAGTGCGGCGTGGCGATCGTGAAGAACGAGAAGGGTTTCTTCCAGCACCAGCAGGGCTACATCGACAAGCTGAAGGAGATCTTCCCGCAGTACCCGAAGGCCAAGAGCGGCGACCGATTGACCGAGGCGGACCAGAGTACTTTGAGAATTTTGTGTGGAGCTCTCTCTTGGCTTGGTGTCAATACACTTCCCTGGATTTCAGCATGGGTTGCAGATGTTCAAAGCAAGATACCCAATGGTGACTACAAGCTCTTTTCGGTAGCGAACAACATCACCAAGATGGTCATAGCCAATCGGACTGACGGCATTCAGATCTTTCGCCACCAACTGCCAGGATGCGGACGAGGTGGTTCCGATTTCCGTATCTACACCTGGTGCGACGCTGCTTGGGCCAGCCGACCAGATGGACATTCCCAAGGAGGTCACGTTACAGCTCTCAGTTCGGCGGAAGGACCGTTTCAGGAGGCATGCGGCTTCACTGTCTTGGACTGGGGATCGCGCAAGCTCAAGCGGGTTGCCAGGTCCAGCCTGTCCGCGGAGATCCTGGAGGCCAGCGACGCGGAGGGCGAGCAGATGATGGTTCGCCTGGTGCTCTACGAGGTGCTCTTCGGTTCGGTCGACCTCTGTAATCGTGCTGCTGCTCTGCATCACATTCCAGGAGCTCTCGTGACGGACTGCAAGTCGTTCTACGACGGCGCGGTGAAGTCTGAGTCGGCCGGCTTGGGCCTCGATGAAAGGAGGACGGCCATAGAGGCGCTCGCCTTGCGCCGGGCCCTCGAGGAGGGCGAGACGATCGCGCGCTGGGTGCATAGCCATGCACAGCTGGCCGATGGCATGACCAAAGCCAGCCAGCAGGCTTTCAACGTGCTCCACGCTTTCCTGAAGAGCCAGCGCTGGAAGATCGTTCACGACGAGAGGTTCCTCTCGGCTCGCAAGCGGTCTGCCCTTGGTAAAGGGATCCTCGACGAGACGACTGAGACCGACCACAGCGAGGCCAGTAAGATCCTGGAAGGCAGGAGGCGGGTCCAGCCCCTGCTAGCGACAGGGCCACGGCAGGTGCCACGCACTACGAGCTCGAGCAGATCTCTTTTCCCCCTGTCTGATTTCGAGGATGTTCATGTCGTACATATCGTGAGGGGTCTGCTCGAGTCTCCCGTCCCTGCAGCCTATTTGGCTCGGCAGTGGGCGGGTGGGTTTCATATTGCGGGCAGAGTGCCGCTCCAGGGCGGCGCGGGTTGGCGCGCCGCCGTGATTGATTGCGAAAAGGGTTCGCTTCGTGTTGCTGCATTTTACTCCGTGACTTACGTCGCCTCCGACGGCGACGTGAAGGGCCCCAGGGTGCCCTTGAATTCAGACTCTTGGGCCATTCTGGGGCCATCTTGGAGGCCTCTTGGGCGATCTTTCGGCGTTCTTTGCGGGCTCTTGGGCCGTCTTGGGCCGTCGGAAGGCCGTCAAGAAGGACGTGCCAAAATCATTCGAACACCGCCGGAAAATCAAGGTTGTTGGCCTTTTCTGGCCTTCCTGGAGGCCCTCTTGGGGGCCTCTTGGGCCGTCTTGGGCCAGCTTCGAGCCAACCTCGGCCATCTTGGTGGGTTCCTGGCACGTCTGACGCCGTCGGGGGCCGTTTGGGAGGCCTTTCTGGGCCGACTGGGGGCCCTCTTGGGGCGCTTCGGGGCCGTCTTGGAGGCCATCTTGGGCGTCTTGGCGGCCACCTTGGGCGTGTTGGAGGTCTCTTGGGCCCTCTTGGGGCCGTCTCGGGGGCCACTTGCGCAGTCATGGGGCCCTCTTGGGGGCCTCTTGGATGCTCTTGGGTGCCTCTTGGGCTGTCTTGAGCAGTCGGAATGCAGAGAAGACGCAAATTCCCAAATCCTTCAAACACTTAAGGAAATCAATAATGTCAGCCTCCTCGGGCCCTCCTGGAGGACCTCTTGGAGGCCTCTTGGGCCGTCTGGGAGGCCTCTGGGTGGCCTCTTTGGCCGTCTTGGGCCTCTTGGACTCTCTTGGGCCGTCTTGGAGGCCGTCTTGGACCATCTTGGGCGGACTTGGAGCCCATCTTGGGCCATCTTCGCGGTTGTTTGAGGATGTCCCGAGCGAAACGGGCGTTTCAGGGAGGATGTTTCGTGGAATTTACGGTCCTGGAAGAGCCCCCCGGGACCCCGGCGGGACGGGCCGAAGCGCCAGAGGGGAGTTCTTTTGGAAAAAGAACCAAAACCAAAACCGATAGGGTTCAGCACGCCAGGCACCCCTGCGATGAATCGACAGGGGGCGGCGGATCGAAGCTGCCTACGGCGAATCACCGCTGCCCCCTGCCTTGTTGGAAGCGCCTATGTGGCCGAAGGTTGTGGCCAGAGGCCTGCCAAGCTATCGGGCCATGTGTTCCCCGAATCGGTTTGGAAAGCCTTCGGGAAACACGTGGGCATCTTGAAGGTCATCTTGGCCGTCTGGAGGCCATTCTGACCCTTTTTCGGGTCTTCTTGGAGGACGTCTTGGAGGGCTCTTGGGCCGTCTTGGAGGCTATTTTGAGCGTCTTGGAGACCTCTTGGGCCGTCTTGGGGGCTTCTTGGGGCCGTGTCTTGGGCCTCTTGGGCGATCTTTGTGGGCACTTGGGCCGTCTCGGGCCGTCGGAAGGCATAACAAATTATGTTTGTGGGTGCCGCGATATTGCTGTGACTTCAGTAACGTCAGTCGTGTCTTGCGGGCCTTGCCTTTCGCTTGCCCGCAACCGCTCTTGCTCAAGCTTTTGGTGGCGGCATGGTCCCAGGGGACCTGGCGCCAGCGGCCGCCGGGCTTTTTCGCGAGGCGATTCGGGGTGCGGCCGCGGAGGCGGCGAGACAGCTCCTGGTCGGGGAGGCGCGGGCGCGTCGCCCGAGCTGCCCGCCGTGACCTGGCTGCGCAGGGTGCCCGCCGCCGCCCCCGCCTGGGCCCGGGGACTGGCCCGGCGAGCCTAGGGGCGGCCGAGGTGGCCGCGGTGGTGGCGGGCATGCGCCTGGCCGCGAGGCGGAGTCGGAGCAGACGCTTGTGGCGGCGGCGGCGCTGGCGGCGGGAGGCTGGCTGCTGGGCTGGAGCGGCGGGCGTCGGCGATCAGAGTCCAGCGCCATGACTAGTCCTGCTGGGCGTGTCCCTGGGCGGCGGGTGCTCGTTCGTTCGAGGGGCGCGTACACTCATGAGAGTCAGTTGCTGTGGCCGACGGGGAAAGACGTTCGGTTCGAGGGTTGGGCGATTCTCCCTTCCGGTGACGATCGGTACATAGAGTGGGCGAAGTACTGGGTGTGGATCTGCGATCTGACCGAGGACTGGCCAGCCGACTCGAGAGGAGGCGTCGTTCGTCTCCGAGAGTGGATGACCGCAGGAGAGGTGTTGGCGCGCGTGGCTGAGGGCCGCGATGAGGCGATGAAGTATCGGGTGAAGCGGGACTTGCCAGAACGTTTGGAAGGAGGGTTTGGCGAGGAGCCGGCCGCCTTCCTGGACAGGAACAGGCGCGAGCCCGCGGTCGAGGACAGCGCGTTTGGGGGTGTCAGGCAGAGAGGTACCAGCAAGGGCGTGAACTCGGAGCCGCGGGTTGCGGAGGCGAGTGGCGATGAGGCCGCGATGCGGGCTGCGCTCGCGGACGCGGCGGACGACGGCGTGGAGGTGGAGAGCCTGGAGGAGGATGCTCTGGCGCCGGCTGGCGGCTCGCTGCATGGGGCGAGTGGCCTCGGAGCGGGCTCACGAGGCGCGCTCGACGATTACGCGCGTGTGCGTGGTCGCGGAGGTTAGGGCGCCCCGCGGCGAGAAGCTCGGAGATCCCGTCGTTGGAGGTCGAGCTGTCGGGCGCGGCGGTTTTCGGGCGCCGGCGCAGCTGGAGAGCGGCGGGGGCGAGAAGGTGCCGGCCGATTCGGTGGAGATCTGGCGACGCGCTGCTATCGAGGCGGCGCCGGAGTGCGGCCTCTCCTAGCCTGAGGGCGAGCCCGGCGCTGCGCGGGAGGATGGTGGCCGGGGCGGCGACCTGCGCGCGAAGTTCGACGCGGCGGACGACGGGGCTGAGAGGGCCGGGAGTGCGGCAACGCCGCCAGCCCAGGAGGCCGAGGTAGAGGGCGGTGCCCGAACGCCATGCGCGGAGAGGGCCGTTGAGGGCGTGAGATTCGAGTCGTGGAGGAAGGCGGTGGACGAGAGCTCGCAGTTGAGCTTCGAGAGTTGCGAGTTCCGAGGTGTAAGCACCTGTCTTGTCCTCTGTCGGCGCTCTGTCCAGCGCGCCGGCGATCCGAAGACGTGGCCCCCGACGTTCGGGAGGGGGCGCGTCATTCCAGGGAAGGGTCGGACGCATCGTGAGCCCACGACCGTGGTGCAGAGTTTTCGGTCGGCGGAAAGCTACGACGGCCTGAGCCCGGGGGGGGGGGCAGCGCGCTGGAGTCGATTGCGAGGCGGCCAGTGGCGATGGAGGAGGCCCATCGGAGTGGGCCTGCGCCGGGGCAGGGGCCCTGGGAGAGCGCTCGGTACTTGACGGGCGTGGTGGGCCCAGGGGCGCGGCCCTCCGCCAATCGAGCTGCCAGAAAGGAAGCTGAGAGGCGGGCGGCGGTCACGCGAGGACACGCGGCCGGGGCAGGGGAGGAGCATGAGGAGACGGGTCTGGCGCTGGCGCTGGGCGGGGCGCCCAGAGCCGAGGATGGCGCCAGGGGCGGCCACTCGGGGCGCAGCTGCCAAGGCGACGGCCGCAGCGAGGGCCCGGGCAGGAGCTGGCGCTGGCGCGGGCGCCCCTGGCGGGGCTGGTTGAGCGACGGGCGAGAGCCTGGGGCGCGGCCGCCCCCCGGCGCAGCGGGCGAGGCCGGCGGCGCGGGGGAGTACTTCCCGGCGACCGAGGTGCAGCAGCTCGATCTCGACATCGGCTTCGGGCTGACCAGGCGAGAGAAGCGGCAAGTGAGGAGGCTCGCGAAATACGCCATCGAGAGCTTGAATTGGACGCATGGCGCGCGCAGGCGAGAGGCCGGCTGCGCGCAGCCACGCCTGGCGACCCTCGATAAGGTAGTTGGGTTGCGGCAGGACACGCAGCGGCGGGCGCAGCTGGCGGCGGCTGGCTGGCGGCGCTCGAGCAGCGCGACATCATCGCAGCAGGCTCTTCCGCAGCTGCTGCGGGGTCACGGCCCCCATGCCGAGGCCCGAGCTAACCTGGCCTCCTTCGTGCGCGACCGGCTCAGCATCCCTCAGGACGTCAGGCGGGCACCTCGAGTGGATAGACTGCTGCCGGATGCGGCGTCGAATTTTTTGAAGGGGTACGAGAGCCACATGCTGAGGCCGCCGGAGGAGGTGGCCGCCTTCGACGAGACGCTGGACCCTGTGCGGCCCTACACAGACCCCGTGCTGAAGTCCAATCGGAAGGTGTACGTGGGGTTGGTCAAGAGGCTCCCACGAATAGGGATGGTGCGACTCAGTGCCAGTAAGAAGTGCGACGTGGGCGTATTTGTGGTGAAGAATTCTTAAGAAGGACGGTTCGCAGCAGAGACTCAGCCTGGATTGTCGGGCGTCTAACCGGCAGTTTGCATCGCCCCCGAGCGCGAGCTTGCTGACGGGTGAAGGTCTCAGTCGGGTGGAGCGACATGGAGGCGAAGTGGGACCTGTTTACCTAGGGACCTCGGACGTGAAGGACTGCTACCACAGGCTGAGGTTCCCGAAGGAGTCGAAGCTCGACGATTTTTTGCCTACCTCGTCATGGGCTTCCGAGCTCGGGCTGACCTGGTGGGAAGGACGGCGCGTTGAGAAAGACATGGTGTTGTGCCCGCTCGCGCAGTCCCTCCCCGTGGGCTGGGCGCGGAGCCTCTACTTTGCGCAGGAGGCCAACGCCCGGCAGATGGAGTTGACCAAGGAGCTGAGGGACGCGCGCCTGCTTCAGGATCGTGGGCCGCCGCTGGTGCTCCAGGGAGGGGGAGGCGACGCTGGGCGTGGCAAGTACTGCTACGTCGACAACTTAGGTGTTTTGTCCGATGACGAGGAGTACGCGAGGAAGGGCCAGACCGCGGTGACCGAGACCTTCGGGGGCCA